CTTTGTCTAAAACCTATAAAAGGCTCCACTCTCCCTTACTCTGGGCTCTCAGCATGGAACCGTTGAGTTGGTGAGGTCTGAGAGCCCGAGCTTAAGCCCGAATAAACCATAAACCTTTGCTTTTGCATTTTGGTGTGTTGGGTTCTCGGTGGTCTTTTTGGGGTCCAGTGGATGGGGTACAACAATGGAATACACAAAAATTCAATTAAAAAGTTTTTAAAGGGGCCAGAGAGATGACTCAGTGGTTAAGAGCACTGACTGCTCTTGCAGAGGACCCAGATTTAATTCCCACCACCCACATGGTGGCTACGGACCATCCTTAACTCCAGTTCCAAGGGAATCTGACGCTCTCTTCTGATTTCTGAGGCACTGCACAACACGGGTGCACTCACATACATGCAGGCAATACACTCATACACATAAAAATAATAAAATATTAGAAAAAAATTTTTTTAATTGTGCTCTTTGGAGATAGCTCAGCAGTGAAGAGTGCTTCTTGCAGCACATGCCCTTAATCCCCAGCACTCAGGAGGCAGAAGCAGGTGGATCTCTGTAAGTTCAAGGCCAGCCTAGTCTACATATCTAGTTCCAAGCCAGCCACAGCTAGATAATGAAACCCTGCCTCAAAAACCAAAAAAGAAGCTGGTGTAGGCACTAAATCCCAGCACTCCAGAGGCAGAGGCAGGTGGATCTCTTTGAGTTGAAGGCCAGCCTGGTCAACATAGGGAGTTCCAGGTCAGCTGCAGCTATAGGGAGACCCTGTTACAGAAAGACACACACACACACAAAGTGCTTCTTGCTCTTCCAGAGAGGAACCTGTTTGGTTTCTGGTATCCACACTAGGGGGATTCACAATTGCCTGTAAGTCAGTTGCACGGAATCTGATACCTTTTGTTTCCTCTGACACCCACATATACATGATATACACTCATACGGGAAAAAAAAAAGCGCCAGGTGTGGTGATGCACGCCTTTAGTCCAAGCATTCAGGAGGCAGAGGCAGGTGGATCTCTGTGAGTTCAAGGCCAACCTGGTCTACATAGTGAGCACCAGGCCTGCTACAGGGAGACTAATGGTCAAAAGCTCCCTATGAAATATACAAGGAACTGACATACCTAGCTAGAAGCACTGATGCTCCCTCAAAGCTGGTCATTATTCGCTTATAAGGATCACTAAAAGACAATTCTTTTACCACCAAGTAGGCAATCTGGACAGCTGAACAAGATGAAATACTGACTGTCATGACAGACCAGTCTTTGAAACAAACCCCCGTCCCTGCCCCCACAAAAATACTCTGATCAAAACAGTTCTGGGGCCATGGTGGGTAAGCTGCCCATGCTGCCCAGTCCAACTCTCTTGCCAGGGACTGGGCCTGCAAGCGACCACTGCACAACACACCTATGGTTGACCTGGCCATCATTATCACCCAAGCTGGACATAGTGGAGAAGGGACTTGGCAACTGAGAGGGAGAGTGGCTAAGGAACAAAGATGGCATGGCGGTGGTGGCAGCTGTGATCGATGTGAGCAAAATGCAACTCTGGTTTGAGAAAATATCTCATCACTGCTAGTGGCTGTCAAATCCTAGCTTTGGGTCTCAGCAGCAGCAGGAACCTGCAAAGTCTGCAAACCTCAGAAAATAAGCTAGAGGACACTGGTGTAAAGCTGCTATGTGAAGCTGTGAAACATCCAACTGCCACTTGGAGAATCTTGGGTTGGAGGTCTGTGAGCTAACTCCTGCCTGCTATGAGGACCTTGCCTCTGCTTTTACCCACAGTGAAACTATCATGGAAGTAGAGCTTATCAGATGCTAAAGGATTTTACATCGTGATGGTAATTAAGAACTCCTGGAATGGAGTGGTGAACAGCAATCTTCCCCCACCCCCTAAGGTTATCCAGAATAGAAGTCTTTGTTTTCCAAAGCTATCACATTCCTGTAACTCTTGCATTTCTATTACCTTTGCATTACCATGTATATGCTATGTACCTTTTGAATATAAAAACCCTCCAAAACTTGAACAGGGGGTCTGACTCCTTTGATTCCTGGTGTAAATCCCACTAGTGTCAAATTAAACGTTCTCTCCTCACCTGACTTCAGCTGTTGGTCTCTGATTTTTCTGTATTTCCAGAGGTCCCCAGCGAGAACAAGTCACCATACCCTTGTTGGTAATAGAGGCTGCCGCTCCTGGACCCTGCAGCCCCCCTCGGCCCCTGGAACAGAGAAGTGTGCACCCCCGAAGAATTTCCTCTCAGGGTTTCCTTCCAGGAAGCCAGAGAGCTGCATGGCCCCAGACTAGAGCCTTTCATCAGGTGAAGCAAGACGGAGACCCAGAATGGATGTCCAGTCCAGGTAATGGGCCCCAGGTTAGACAGATGGAAGCCGGCATGGGTTGATCCCTGCAGGAGGCTGCATACAAAGTCTTGATGTGATTCCAAGATGGCACTGGCCTCCAGTCAGGAAGAAATGGGGACAAGAACTTAACCTCAACATGATTCCGAGGTGCTGGTCCCATGTAAGGTAAAACAGGAATCAGGCAGTAAACTGGGCCACAGCTAAACCTTGATGTGATTCCAAGGTTCTGGCCCTGTTTTAGGTACAACAGGAATTTAGTGGGAATAATAGGTAACAACCGTCTTAAATTCTGAATGATTGTGCATGAATGTGAGAGTGAAAGTGATGGTTCCACGGTTCTTCAAGGCCACAGAATATGACTGGGGCCTCACCCTGCAGTTCCGCTGAGGTTGTGCAACCTAAATGGGCACTCGCCTTCGAGTGATCAAGCATGGGGATTATACGTGTTGCCCCAAAGTAAGACCTCTTAAGTCACCGAGAGGTGGCTGGCCAGGAAGGCATCTGAATGAGGAAGACTAGCACTCTCCACCCCTCCTATGCACACATTACATACATCCCAGGCACATATAAAAGTTCAGATGGGTTCCTCCTGATCTAAGTTTCAGACCCAGACTGTCCTCTAGGTGATGCTGGACAACTTTAAACAAGGCTATGCAGGAAATTATGGCATTAAGATAAAACTCTCCAAATTAAAAACTCTGTGAAGTCCAGTGACTTGAAATCAGGCCATGCTAGGTAAGAATCCCTGAGCCCAGATGGAGACTACCTGAACCCTAAAACCCAGCCTCATACTTACCAGAAGAGGAAGAACTTCCCCAGAGCTATGAGGAGATTATGGAGGAAGTGTTCTCTAATCCACCTTTAAAGGAGGAGTGCCTACATGCAAAGGACCATACTAATCAAACTCCTTGATTTTTGTGTTTTGGGTGCACCTAGTTTTCATGAAATTATGTCATGGGTCTATGATAATCGTTTTCCATGTGTTGTTTGTGCTTTCATGCAATTATGTCATGTATTTAAATTTTCTCCTGTGTTGAGATCTCAAATAATTCTGTCATGTGTGTCTGTAATCACTGTCTTCATATGTTTCCATCAAAACAAACTGGCCACTTCAGTTTGTTTATTTATTTATTTATTTATTTATTGTGCACAAAATTATTGGTTTATTTTGCTTTATTTTTGCATGCCTAATTAAAATACATGTGCAGATTTATAAATAAGGATATTTTGATAGTCCATTCAAAGGCCTTATAAATTTGGGTATCCTAAAGATCTTTAAATTTATTGGACAATGTCTCTAGGTCTATTAAGTGTTCCACAAAACTTTTAAGTGCTAGATGTTTATACAAAACAGTATCTGAAGCTGGGTGTGGTGGTACACGCCTTTAATCCCAGCACTCAGGAGGCAGAGGCAGGCAGATCTCTGAGTTCAAGGCTAGCCTGATCTGCACAGTGAACTCCAGGCCAGCTGGGACTACAGGGAGATCCTGTCTCAAAGACCAGAAAACCACTAAAGATTAAAGGGGCCAATATAATTTTTTAAGAGTCCATATGTATAGCTAAAGGCTATTACATAACAAGCAACAATGCCAGATAGGAGATACCTTCTTTTGAGTTGTTGGCAAGGGTAGCCCAACGGACTCCCAGATAGTATCTCAACATAGAACTGGGAAAATGAACAGCAGACCCCAATCTTATCTAAAGGAATATTGACAACTGATTGCTGCTAGATGAGGAACAGCTGACCTTCCTAAAACAAAGACCTCTAGATAGGCTGACTAGATTCACCAGATGGACAAGTAGTGGGGAATATCTGGGGGTGCCAATAACACAGCAGACAGTAGCAGGAATGACAGAGTATAAGGGCTCTAGTGCCGGCAGGGAGGCTATGGGAGGATGCCATCTGGGAAGTGGGTGTATAGATGAATAAGATGGTTTGGGATGTTCTGTGTGATATATGTTGGGGACCCCTGCTGTTTAGGGTATCAGTCTCCCCATGTCCGGATAGCCACAAGCTGGCTTGGCGCGATTGGGGAGACTCCCTTTCTCAGCGGGGCGCCTTCTTCTTCCTCTCCCTGACTTACTTTTGAAATGCCCGTCACAAGATACATGCCCTCCAGCACAGGAGCTACCAGGTTTTAATCAGGCATTGTCTGATAGCCTGATGGAAGCCCACTGCCCTATGTAAATGAAGCATCCCAGGAGTACCTATCAGCTATGGCTTTTGCCACTGCCCCTACAGTACAAGTATCTTGGTTTCCCCTCAGTAAATCAGAGCTGCTGAATCAGTGAGATCTGAGCTGAGTCACTTGTCTTGAGCTGTAACACTAAATCCTGTGATCCAGTCTCCCCTGGGGGCACTATCCTTCCATCATCGACTCACGGAAACCCAGCATTAGCCGCCCCGCACCTTCCCGCATGATCCAGCGGCCGGTGAATTTCGCATCTCGAGGAAGTGCACGGGTGAAATTAGGGCGGAACTCGACCGGGTCAGCCCCGGTAGCAGAGGGACCCACAGCGCAGAAGCAGCGGCGTACGTGGAGCAGACATGCCGCGGGATGCGCCATCTTCCAGGTGCGCGCAGGGGAACGGCGCCCCGAGATCCCTGCGAACCCCATATCTTAAAATCTATATTTATCTATAAATATCAGGATTAATATTTAGCTATAGTAAGAAATTACACTTGTCTAGGGATGTGACAGATGTGGGGTTTCCTCTAAGATCTATGATCTTTCCAGTCATGTATATTTGGCTATGTTTACAGTCCCACCCCGCACCTCTCCTCATGACCCGGCAGCTGACGGGCTCCGAACTTAGAGAGAGAGTGCACGGGTGAAACTGGGGCAGAACTCGACCAGGCCAGCCTCGGTAGCAGAGACCCACAGAGACCAGAGAAGCACCCACCGCTTCCCAGGTGCGCACAGGAGACCGGCGCCACGCTAGCAGCTGGTGCCCCGAGATCCCCGCACCCCATAGATATACACACAAAAAAAATCAACAAATTTTAAAAAATGAATTATATTTGAGGAAGCATAAAAATTTGTCATGTTAATTAGCAGAGGTGATAAACATTACCATTGAAATCTACCCAATGACTTTATAGACATACAGAGGTGCCAAGGATCACAGTGCAACCGACTATGACTAGTAATGATCAGATCCATACAGATTAGAGATGAGGCATGCGCCAACATCTCAGTATTATTAGCAAAAACAATGAGTCTGTAAGAAACAGTATATTTTAAAATGAAATGGAGATCTTTTTTAAGGTTAAAAACCCATTCAATTTAATGTTTTACAGGGTTTATACTGAGTTCAATATTATATAACTGTATTAATGCAACAGTGAACCTAAAAATTTTATAGCCACTTTTCTGGGCTGGAGAGATGGCTCAGCTTAAGAACACTGATGGTTCTTGCAGAAGGCCTGGGTTCGAATCCCAGCACCCACATGGCAGCTAACAACTGTCTGTAACTCCAGTTCCAGGGGATCCGACAGCCTCTTCTGTCCTCTGCAGGCATTGCACAACATGGGTGCATTTACCTACACGCAGGCATAATACTCATACACATGAAATAAAAATAATTAAATTAAAAAAAAAATTATAGCCACTTTTGAAAGAGAACCAGTAAACCAGTATCTGAGTTGGTTGTTTAAGGACCTTATTTGTTACATACCTTTTGGGTTGGGTTTGCTTTCGTAGTGTTTGTTTTAAAGTGTCTCTTTGGTTTGCTCACTTTGGAAGTATTGTGGTTTTGAAATTCTCAGTCTGGTTTGTGCTGCTTTCAGAACTCTGAAGGCTTGAAAATGGTTTGAGAAAATTGAACTACGTTAACTCATCGTCAGAACTGGAGATAAATCCTGGGACTGGTCTTCCGTCTCATCTTTTTGGCCTTGTCCTCTGTCCCCTGTTTCCTGCCACATGGCTCTGTACGCAGGCAGATGGGGCCTGTTTCGGGAGGGACACTTTTCAGCCCTGGAAACTCTGCTGGCTTAGATGTGGCTCTGTACTTTTCTCCCTTGGAGCAACTCTTGCCTTTAGCTCTCATGTTTAAGTCTCCATTAAACTGCCTTTATATTAGCTATTTCTAAAACTCATATCAGTAATTGAAACCAGGAATCTTAGTTTGGCTTGAATGGAGGTCTTTGATACCCGGAAGAGCTCCACCACAGGCTCCTGGAGATGGCCATGTGACAGCGGTGCTTTTGTTTTTCTGGCTAGAGGACACCTGGCTTAGAGCTAGTAGCTCATGGCTTCTTCTGGCATACCTTGTAAAAACTGATCCCCAAGATGGCCTGAGCCAGTCTCTTGCCTCCAGAATAGCCTGGGACAAAATGAGGCAACTACAATGTGCTCAGAATAACTACTCATAGACATTATTATGCTTATTTTGTAAAAATGCAAACATTGCCGGGGTGTAGTGGCACACGCCTTTAATCCCAGCACTCAGGAGGCAAAGACAGGCAGGATCTCTGTGAGTTCAAGGCCAGCCTGCTCTACATAGTGAGTTCCAGGACAGCTGGGGCTACAGGGAGACCCTGTCTCGAAAAGACCAAAAAAAAAAAAAAAGTAATTATTATGTTTATCTTGTAAAGTACGTGTACTTTAACACATACACTGAACAACCTCTAGACATCTCTGCGAATTAACTCACAACTGTTCTCTACAGTGTGTCTTCTTAGATGCTGGGCAGTGATATGATTTTGGGTTTGTTTCTTTCCCGGTCTTTCCCCCTCCCTTCTTCCTCATAGGAAGCAAAAGACCACCCTGAGCCTGAGCTGTTGCTGTCACAGACCGCCAGCCCTGCAGACTTGGCATGCTGGCTCCTCTGACCTTGTGTGCTGTGCTCTTGTGCTTTCACGTCATTCTTTCTAAGTTCCCCCATGCTACTATAGGAAAGAGTTAACTGTAGACAGCTGTCATTGAATCATACACATGAAAGCTGTATACTCTATGCTTTTGGTATTGTTAAGTCTTAAGTGGTCTTTAATAATAGATTGATTCTGTATTGCCTTATTAACACTAAATACTTACCATCCCATTCTTTACCCTCTCATTTCATGGAATTGTCTTAATGAAAACTGTTTAAGCACTAGCTTGTTTTAATCATACTGTAACTTTGGGCTATGGTAAGCTTTAAGTGCAAGTGAAATGTATAATTCTGTTTTCCATCACCTGTTGAGTCTGAAACCCAGTTAGAAATGTTTACCATATTAAAATGTAAATATTTCTGAAAATGCTTTCTTCAAGTGAAAGCCCTTATATCATCAGTGTGTACGGCTTTGTTTGGCACAGCCGTTTTTGAGATAAGAGTCTTATACATACATATATGTATGTGTGCTGGTTTTTAAGAGTCTCTTTTATATACACCTGATCAGAATTTCATCAAGGTCTTGGTTTTGAAATTGGTTTGTCGTGACATTGTGTCTAGCCACAATATTTATTGTATTAGACTGTTGTGAATATGTAGACTTATGTTTACTACTAAGGGAACTGTTATTAAATAATAAATTACTAGATATCAAATTGTCTTTGAAAATTCTCTTGTAAACTGAAATTGTTAAATTACAACATGGTTCCTATTAAGAAAATAAATTAACTTTAAGGAATAATTGCTTCTGCTCCAGGGTGCAAGGTGCAA